CCGCCCCGCCCCGGACTCCCCTTCCTAGGCCCCGCCCCCCAGCTCCCGACAGCCCCGCCTCCATCTCCGGGAGCTCCCAGTGGCACGGCTGCCCCAGTTCCGTAAACACTTTTCTCCCCGCCCCTAGCAGTTCCCCGGACTGCACCACTTGAAGCCCGTGGGGGGGGGCCCGTTTCCTGTGGCATGCAAAACACCGTCAATCCAAGCTCTTCTCGACCTCTTTCATGCGAACGTGAGGAAAAATGTTAGGTAGTAAATCAAATCTGTCAGAGCTCTGCTATCGGAGCCTGAAGTGCTTGGATTTCCCCCTCTCCCGTGGTCCGTCTTCCCCCTCTCGCAGGTTACACTGCTACGCCTAGGCTGACTCTTCGAAGTCCCTCCCGGCCCTTTAAATACCGCGTGGGGGGGAGGGGGGCGGGGAGGTTGGGGGTTGTTGGAATGGTGAGTGAGTTTTCCAGGTGTTTGAGCGGTGTTGAGGGGACACCCAGAGATCCTTGATCCAGGCTCACTCAGTCGCCTTTCTCCTCCGCCTGTCTCCGCGCCAGACCCGGTGCGTATCCATCCCGGGGGAGGGGGTCGCGGGTTCTGAGGTGCCGGACCCGGGTGGGTGGACGAGGACATCTCGCCACAGGGCAGCCGAGGGCCTCCCCCAACCCACCTCGGAACTCTGTCCGGGGACGCCGGTGCCAGGGGGCGTTAAAGTCCCACTTCTTGCTCCCCCCCATCTCCTTGTTTGACCTCAAACCGCCATCCCGCGTGGGAGCGGAGAGCGGGTACAGAGTGGCCGCGGCGGGTGTCAGGGTGGCCGCGGGCTTCGGGCCCCGGAGGCTGCGGGGTCGCGGCCGCTTGGCCGCCGTTTACAACCTGCTGGATCCGTGCCAGCGACCGCGCTGCGAACAGCTTTCCACCATCCGGGCCCCGGGAAGGTGCCCGCCTCGCCTGCGACCCCCTGCCCATCTGGGGTGGGCGAGCCGGGCCGCGGTGGGGGCTGGGTGCGGCTCGAAGCGTGTGTTTGGGGTTTGTTGCCGGGGTTTCCCAGGCACTCTGCTCTGCCTCCGCCGTCCCCTCCCCCAAGGGTTTGTTTTGACAGGAAGCGTGCTGCTGGAGGGGAGGGGGGGCTGGAGGATTGGCCTGGGGGTGTGCAGACTCCTGGGGCGTCCCTCTACGGTCAGTTGGGGGAAGAGGCGGGAGATGCCAGTCGGGCCCGGGCTCGAACCCTTGGCCTCTCGGGGATGGCTTGTGCTTCCCCAAACTGCTCCTCTGGGTGGCTCCACCGGGTGGGTGGACGGACGGCCCAGATTGGAGGTGGCACGTGGACGAGCATGGTTACGTGTTTTCGTTAGTATTTGGAAAAGCTGTTCCATTAAAGGAGCGATTTCACAATGATCTAAAGTTTCCTTTTAAAATAAAAGTATTCAAATGCAAAAATCTAGTCAACATAGCGGTGATTGACAAATTAGGGTAGAGATGTGGAAACAGGCGTCAACAGTGGTACCCAAATGACTGAAGTTTGGGAAATAATTATCTTAGGTGGTTGTTCTGTTACATTAACCTTGAGAAACCAGACAAGTTGTCCTTGTCCCCAGTGGGCCCCTCAGCCCCCAAGATCCCTATGGGCCCCATGGTCTCCAGCCCAGCCAGAGACCTTGCTCTTTGCTACCATAACCAGGTTATCGCTGTGGTTCCCACTTTAGGAGGCTCCGTGCCTGCCTTTTCCTCTTGCCTCCAGGGATTTCATCCATCATTCTGGCAGCCGGTGGAGGTTGCCTCACATGCAGTGGCCCAGGGCTGAAGATACCCAGTCACATGTGGAAGCAGCTTCAATGCCATTTTGTGAGGGGTTGGGGCCCCCAGAGGAGGAAGCACAGGTACTAAAACAGGCCAGCCAGGGGTGTGAGGAAAAGTGTTTCCAAGTGTGAAAAGTGCCTAGAAATCCTTCCCCCGATGCTGTAATGTTATGTGTTGCGTGAACATCTGTTTTCTTAGACAATGACTGGCTTGTTGGCTTTTATCTAGCTCTTTGTTGGCTCTAATTTGATGAAGACCAGCATTCTGTAGCTGAATGGAGCAGGAACCTATCTCTCTGCTCTGTGGTTTATGCCTTGCTGCATATGAGTAACTTTTTAGCACTGCTGGCTGGGCCTGGTTCTAAAGCAGCATTTTGCAGAAGATGGAGATGTTCCATACCATCTACAGTTTGTTTTTTTTTTTCCTTCAGAACCCAGTCTTATTCCTCTGACTCCTTGCCCTTTACTACACATATGTGAATGCCTGTCTTTGCATTTGACCTTGATCTGGTCTTCAAGGATGACATCCACTAGATAGTTCGTGAAATTTCTCATTTCCACCACCCAACCTTGACCGGATGGTCTCCATTCCTCATACATGGCGCTGTTGGAAAATCTGTGTAGTTCACCTCAAAATGTTTTTGATACTAGTTGTAAGCAGTTAAGACTTCTGATGATATTTGAGTTTTAACTAGGGATTTTGCAGTGCTTAAAGAACGGCTCCCTGATAGAGGATTTTCCTTTACTCTAGTGGGGTGGTTGAGAATTGTTTTGGATAATAGACTCTTTCAGTGATGCCCTTCATGGTATAGCACTTTGAGCAGCCACCCCGGGGTAAGGTCAGCTCGTTACCACATATGTAAGTGTCCACGTGGTGTTGGGTAGATCGATTTGGCAGACTGAGAATGGAAAGAATGAACAACACACTACATTTTGTCCAGCCATCCTAGAGTGGTAGAAAGCATGGGCTTTAGGGATCCATGGCCTCGATTAGAGTTGTGCCTCTGCCACTGCTGTGACCCCTAGAGCAAAGTAATTTAACTTCTCTGAGCCTCAGGTTCTTATATATAAAATAGGGATAATAGCAATACCTTAGCTAGCAAGGTTATAATGAAGATTCAAGGAGATAAAACACTTAAAATGCTTATGGGGGCTGGGACATAATAAGCACACAATAGCTATTAGCTCTGATTGTTATTATTTGTTATCAATGAGCATTAAGAGAATGGAAAAACACGATGTAAACCTTGCTTTAAGCTCTGGAACTGTAAGTCTCTGCTGGTTTGAATTATTGGTGACTGGAAAATGTGTTTGGAATTGGAAAGGGGAGACAGCCCTTCCTGTAAGCAGCTTAAAATTTAGTGGGGAGCCAGTTATGTAAACAGCAACTATAGTACTTTAAGTGACTGCATAATGGGAATATGAGCAATGTGAGTGAGGCAGGAGAGAAGGAAAACCTAAGTGGTAATATGAATAGGAGTGTGGCCTAATTTGTTCATCAACGATATTCCTTGAGCTCTCCCTCTATCCCAGGAAGTGTTCCTAGCTCTAGTTGGCTGATTTAGATGGAGTGAGGATATCAGGGAAGGCCACTTTGAAGTTGTAACATTTAATTTCAAATCTGAATGACAACAAGGAGCCAATCACATGGAGATCGGGGAGAACAAGCGGGGCGGGGTGTGGGGGACACGGGATGCTGCGGAGAGACTCTAGCAGGTGCAAATGTTCCAGAATGGGGAGTTTGGCAGGTCTGAAGAACCTGAAGAAAGCCATTGTGTCTGTGGCAGGAAGGGTTACGGGGAGAGTGATACGGGATGAGGTGGGTAGAGGCCGGATCACAGAGGAATATAAACCATTGCCAGGAAACTTCTTAAGAAAAGGGAAACCACCTGGAGATGAGCTCTTAAAAGGGATGATTTATTTTGCCTCTTCTGAAGGGCTCTGGCCTATTTCCTGTTTTATTCTCTAGGCACTGTTCAAGAAGGACATTGGGACAAGTCTGTCTAGAAGAGCTTTTGTAATAGAGTGGTATCTAACTATCCCAGCAGTGGGAACAATCAAAATCTAAAAACTGCAGGAGCCCAGACTGTTCTGAATTAGACTTGAAGTTTTGGTTTAGTACTTCTCTTTTAATTTTCTGCTTGGAAATAATTTCAGACTTACAGAAAAAGTTGTAAGGACTGTACAAAGAACTCCCTATCGTCTACCTTTTGCTCATAATCACCTGTTAACATTTTGCTGCAGTGCTTTATTGTTTTCTCTTTTTCTCTCTCGTTAAATTAGTTGAGAGAAAGTTGCAAACATCATGGCCTTTAATTCCTAAATATATAATCACAGTACATGTATCAACTTTAGTAAATTAACATTGTTACACAGACAGTAGGTTCAGGTATTGTTACCTGCTGTCATTTGACCCAGTAATAGCATTTTTCCCCCCTCTGGTACAGGATCCAGTCTGGGATCATCTGTTACACTCAATTGTCAAGTCTCTTTTCATCCGGAACATGTCCTCAGCCTTTCTTTGTTTTTATGACATTGACATGTTTGGAAATCATAATCTCTTCTAGTGGTAATAAAATAATAGTTGGCTGTCAAGCACTTCCTAGGAGCTCAAGTACTTGACATAGACTATTTCAGTTCATCTTCACAACAATTCTACGAGGCAGATGTATTAATATCCCCACTTTGCAAATGGCAAACCAGAGTTCCCTCTCTCCAGTCAGTAAATATCAAGCATCAGGATCAAGAACCCAGACCACCTGACTCCAGAGCCAGTGTTCTTGCCTCTTGGACGTGGACATTTGCGTTGTCACTGGTGGATCTTTATAATCCTGAACCCATGCAGGAGCATTTGCAGATGAGTCTGCTACAAAAAGGAAATAAAGAAGTGAAGTTGGTAGTGTGGACACAGGCTAAGGAATCAACCCATTTCGCCTCCATCTGTGGTGGGACATAGGACTGTCCCCTTCAGGTTCTTGCACCCATTTCCCTCCTCTCTAAAATGTCAGTGATCATATTGCCATTCATTCAACAATAAGTGTTTAAGTATCTGCTGCATCCCAGTCATTGGTCTTGGAAGGAATTCCATAATATTGAATTTATTATTATTAAATGAAGAACAGTGCAATGAAAAATGTGATTATTCTCCTTGATGGTGACCCACTGTAGTATTGGAGGCTGTGCTTGGAGTTATACGCTGCTTTCACCTTTGACTTTACCTTTGGCCAGTAAGTAAATCCTGCAGGTAGGATGAGATGTGGTGTTTCTGAAAAGCTGTGTGGTTTGCTTGTAATTCCCAGTGGTGAAGTTTAAGTAGATCTAAGTTTGTCGGTATGAGAAGCATTACCTCTCTTAAAGAAATAGACTGGTTTTATTATCACTGTTGTAAGAATCCAAAATCGTTTTTAAAGCAGTCTAATTACCCTCAAGGCCTTGAGTCAAGTAGCTTTGTCCCCAGATGACTTCTATGGAAACCCGAGACCAAGAAAAGTAAGAACAGATGTGCAGGAACTTGCAGAAGACCATTTACACTGGGATGGGCCATTTGCTTTTAGCTTTTGTATTTCAGACAAGCGCAAAAGTTCTGTCCTGGGTTTACTAGCAGTGTTATCATCATGGGATAAAACAGTTCTCCCCTCTAGAGTAGTTTTTAATGCCTGAAATGATGATGATAGTAACAAGAAAAAATGCAAATAATACTAATAATAGTCATCATCTGTATCCAGTTTTCTCTGTGTCAGCCACTGTTCCAAGCACTCTACATATACTGACTAAATGAAGTCTCACGCTTGCCCTATGCATTAGGTGTTATTAGTATGCCTTAAGAAAACAGCCGTTTTCCTTATAGAATAATAATGGGCATTTGGGCTTCAAAGAAAAGCTTCTCCTTGGATGCACTAAAGCCCATTTGTGCTGTGGAGGCTTCTGCCAACCAAACAAGAGTTTCTAAACATTTTGAAGCTTTTATTTTGTGTTTTCTGTTGCATCCCCTGTGCCAGAAACTCTACTTCCAGTGAATTGTTGGAGGGAAGCACAGTTGCACATTAAGTATGTCTGCTGTAAGCACATTTAATGTCTCAGAACTTCCAGTGAAGCCTCACGGAACTCTGGGTTTATAGCATTTTAGCAATTCCTAGTTGAAAGGGACCTTATAGCCAGCCCAACCTGCTCAGAAAAATGAGGCGAAGAGAGCCGATGTGATGTGCATAAAGTCACACAGCAAATTAATGACAGACCCAAGCCTCAGACTCTAGACTTATAACTCCTAGCCTACATCTTTTTATTTTTGAACCTTTGTACTTTGCTGCCTTGTTAAACACAATTAAGGAACCTACAAAGTGTGCTGTTCGGCTGGAGTAGAAAAATGAAAGGGACAGTTAATAACTATTAACCCAGTTCATAAATTCCAATGGATGAAAGCTTTTATTCACCTTTACTTGGAAAAACAGCCAAAGTGAAGGAAAATTAAGAGCAGAGCATACAGAGCACAGTTGTTATAGTGGAATGACTGCAAAAAATAATAAGACGGAAACCAAGTTTAAGATAAATAAGAGCGTGGCCAGGATCAGGGAATATTGAGTCTTACACCTAACAAAGAAAGTTTAGGTGGTAGGTTCCCCGCTCCAGTGCTTGAACTTTCACGGTACAAGGCCTGCAAGTGTGTGATATCAGTTTGCGAATGTTCTGGTTGAAGCTGTACCAAATGGGATTCAATGATTCCGATTCAGCTGACGCCAAGTGAATACTTGTCACGTACTTGACACTGGCGATGGACGAGACACAGTCCCTGCCTTATTAAGGAGAGTCAGAAGTAGCCATGGGAGGAAAATAACTGTACAAGGGACTCAGCTCTGTCGTGGAGATTCGGGACGTGGTTGCAGATGTACAAAGAAGAGTGTCTGTCATTCACTCTGGCCAGAGGGTAAAGGCTTCCTGAGGAAGGTAGCACTTTCAAGAAGTGCCATCAGTGAGACATCAAATGTTGGCAGAGAGAGAGAGAGAAATCTAGAGGGAAGGGCAAGTATTCCATTTAGGATTGGGGTTTGGTGGCAGTGGAAGAGTTAGGGCAGACCCCTTTCTTCTGTCCTCTATTCCCTTCCCCCCGGCAGATGGGAATTAAAGCTCAAATAGAAATGGGGCGCCCGGGTGGTTGGTCAGGCATCCGACTTCTGCTCAGGTTATGGTCTCACAGTTTGTGAGCTCGAGCCCTGCATTGGGTTCTCCACTCTCAGCACAGACCCTGCTTTGGATCCTTTCTTCTTCTCTCTCTGCCCCTTCTCTCTCTCTCTCTCTCTCTCTCTCTCTCTCTCTCTCTCTCTCTCCTCTCCGTCAAAAATAAACATTAAAAAAACAAAAAAACCTCAAGTAGAATCTAGCTTGCCTGTGGTAAAGGAGGTTATTTCCCCACCGGAGTTGCAAGGGTCCAGGTTATCTTATAGCCTGTGTTCGTGGTAGTTGACGTTGGGACCCTAGGATAAGGCAACTATCTCTACATGGTAGCTTCCTGGCGGCTTCACTCAACTCCTGGCACAGTCAGCCTCCAATTAACGCTTTTCTGTTTGTGGAAATGATGGGCCGAGCAAGGGCACACTTTTACAACTGGCAGGGCTGAAGAAAGTTGTTTAAGGGAGGCCAGGGGCAAATGCCCTTGGGCATTTGACCTTTTAATAAGTCCCTCTCAGGTTCATCCTTGTCTCTGTTACCACACACGGGATAAAAAAATGGCACCATGTCTCTCAACAAAGGCTAGATTCCCCCATAGTCCCATGCGGCCTCTCCTTGTGCTTCAGCAATGCCTTGTTTCCCATTTTCTCATGTTCTGGCCTCTGCCACACACAGGTGTAGGTGACTGGACTTCAGAGACAGAGGAGTAGGACCCTGTCTCTTCCATTCACTGTTACCTTTCCCTGTGCTGCGACACAGTGCGCACTCAATATATGTAAGGAATCATTTGAAGAAACCGCTCAGGATTTCCAGACATACTGTGTGCAGCCGTGGTTTCAAGTTCTTGCAGCTTTCAAAGCTCTGTATACCTCATTGCCTGGGCTGGTTCAGATTTAAAGACTCAGTGAATCCTTACTATCATTACTGTCTATTCAGGATTTGAGGTGCCTTCCTCCTCGGGCCCAAGTTTCCTCTCTGTTTCAGCTAACGCCACACATATCAGAGTCAGTGCCTGCTGGGCTTTAGTTGAGCCTCCTGGGCTTAGGCCAGGGTATCCCATGTGCCCAGGATCCCCTTTCTAGGGGGTGACTGGGCCCAAGTGCCCTGCCTTTGTCTGGGAGGCAATCTGATGTTCCAGAACAGCACTGGATGTAGATAGAGTGAAGGGACTGGTTTTACGGCATGGTAAGTCCCCTTGTCCCGAAGTCTGTTCCACCGACCTGTGAATCAGGATCTTTGATGCCTGTTTGTTCATGGGGTGGTAGCGGGTCCTTAGTCGACTGTCAAATGCAGACCCAGGGTCAGGCTTTAGTCTTTATATGATGGCAGTCCATGGGAAAATGGAGAACGTGCAGACTTGCCAGCCAGAGATTTTAATTAGTCTTCTCCCTTCCCAAAGGGCTCATAAGGAACCAAAGAGGCTGATTTCAAAACTATTTTATTTAAAACAAAGCCAAAGGAACAGTAAGAATAGCTAAAATTTGCGTGCCATGCTAAGTACTTTATTAAGATTAATCCTATTTAATCTTCAAGACTGAACCCTATAAATTCAGTCTTTCAGCCCAGTTTTACTCATGAGGTAGGTGGGTAAGTAAGTGACTTTCCCAAGGGCACATGGCAAAAGACAGCACCAGCTTCTAACCTAGGTGGTCTGTCCCCAGTGCCCCATCCTCTCATACTCTTAAATTGCCATGTTTTAGCAACCCAGGAAGAGAGAGATTGTGTGTCTTCTGTACACTTTTAAGGGATCTGTTATTGCTGAGAGCTGCTCCTCATTCACACTGCGTATGTCCTGAGTAAGTTCCCACTTAGGGCTATGGGGTCCCTTTTCTGGAAGGCAGTCTTGGTGGCGTGGCCGGGCTGCTATGGGAAAGGAGAGGTTATCTTCTGGGGCCTTTCCAACACTGTGACACATGTGGGCAAAGCCGTCTATGTTGGAAGAAGCATCCGTGATGCTAGTGGAACCCCCACAGAGTGTTGACACAGGGTCTGTTTGTCTACACAGGTGTTATCCCACACTCGCGCGACACAAAATGCCCTTCAATGGTGAGAAGCAATGTGTGGGTGAAGATCAGCCAAGCGATTCAGACTCTTCCCGGTTTTCCGAAAGCATGGCTTCCCTCAGTGACTCTGAGTGCTCCAGGCAGAGTTTTACGAGCGACTCTTCCAGCAAATCCAGCTCTCCTGCTTGTAAGCTGACGGGGAGCAGGGGCTAGGGGTGGCCGAGGGGAGGTGGTTCTAGACATGTGTGCTGGATTTTAGAACTCCTAAATGAATGAGAGCAAAGTATAGACTCCCCCGGTTTCTAGATGTACCATAATAGCACTGCAAAGGCAGAAGTAAGTAGCCACTAACGTTTACCACCTAACCATTTTTATTTTCATTACAGTCTCTGATATGCTTTGCTTTGGCTATAAATCAGGTCCATAAACCCCACCTGTCTTTTCTCTTAAGCAGTGGAAAGCCACTCCCTCGTGAGATCACTTCTTGGACACATTCAAGGATAAATTCAAATTGGTCTTCTCTAATCATTGCCGATTTAAATGAAAGGAAACTTGCCCCAATTCAAGGGTCAGGCAGGAAGTGAAATAATCTAAAGGGTTTCCTACTGATTGCAAAAACTGTTGTGCAAATCACCCCAGAAAAGTAGCCACGAGGAGAATTACTACACTAGGGGCGTAAGAAAGAGTTCAAAAAGTGGCCACAGTGCAGGAGACGTCTTTTTCCCCTTTTGTGTGTGACAGCTCTAAAGGTGTGTAAAGCCAGCGTTTTTTCTTTTTCTTCTTTAGCTTTTTAATTGACATCTTGTATAGGAAATGTAACATCTTAAAAGACAAAGCAAATGCAGAAAGAAACAACAACATAATCAAATGCCCACTTCAAAAAGTTTGTTCATTTGTGTTTAAATTTGTGCAATCTCATTTTTAAAACATGTGGAAAGTACACGAGTGTAGAGAAAAGATTTTGCCTATATCACCCAAAAGCGACAGCTGGCAGCACTTTGTCACATTCATTTTTCACATTGACACATGTGTATATGTAGGTGTAGACTGTTTTCACTTAGAATTATAATTAAATCGTTTACCTATGAGGATATACTTTTAAAACATTTAGGGGTGCCTGGGTGGCTTAGTTAGTTAAGTGTCTGACTCTTGATCTCTGCTCAGGTCATGATCTCACGGTTCATGGGGTTAAGCCCCATGTCGGGTTCCACATTGAGCTTGGAGACTGCTTAAGATTCTCTCCCTCTGTCCCTCTCCTCTGCTCACTCTCTCTCTCTAAAATAAAAAAAAAATTTTTAATTAAAAAATGTAAATTACTTCATCAAATGACTATATAATTTATTTAATCATTGATTTATCATTGGACATTTAGTTAATTTCCTTTTTTTTTTTTTTTTTTTTTTTTTTTTTTTTTTTTTTTTTTTTTTTTTTTTGGCTGTTACAAATAGTGCTTTATGGTACATAAAGCCTTTCCAGGAATTCCTTTGGATACAATTGGATTATTGGACCCCAGAGTACAGACATTTTTGAGAAGAATCTTAATGAGCCAGAGAATTGGGAAAAGAATTAACTAGCAGTCACCCAGCTTTCTGTGCTTTTTGTCATTTTTTATATTATATATATGGGATTGATGCCTCCAACAGGGTACCTAGGCATCTTGACGAGGGACTTTGCTAATTCCATATATCACCATTTTTTCCTCTTCTTCCCCCTCCTCTTCCTCATGGTCTTCCTCTTCTTCCTCCTTCTCCTCTTCTTTTATAAATTATTTTAGGTAGCAATATATTGCCAGTCAGTATTGTTTTTTGAGGAAATGATTTTTAAGTAATTGAAGCTAAGAGTTCCAATAGTGATTTTTAAAAGACATGACTTATTAGAACAATTTTCTAGAATAATCTTTAGAAATAATCAGAATAATTCTTTATTTACTACTTCTGACTGAAAAGTAAATTATCCAGTTTACCAGATTAATTTTATTTTAATCATCTACATTTATTAAGTTCTTACTATGTTCTTCTTTACTAATCACCTCAAGACAGCCCTATGAGGAGATATGTTATACCTAGTGAAGTCGAATGATAACAACCAATTGGTAAAAATTGGAGCCAAACCCAAGCATTATGCTATACCACCTATACTTTTAGAAGTTATAGTTTTAAGAAATCAGTTACTTCATTTTGAATGTGCTTAAATTAATGAGTTATGAATTACAGAATAAAAGTAGTCTTATCAAGTTCCTGCAGAGTACGTGTAATAAATGCAGATATCAATAGGTACTAAAATATAGGGTGATTTAATAAAAGAAAGGTAATTATAATAGCTTCTATTAATAAGATAGTCTCTAAAACACTTGAGAATTTTTTTTATCAATAGAGTAACTGAAACTATCAAAGGAGTTCTTAAATTTTTGAAGTCTTAAGTAGTAAGTAAGCAGAGGAATCTACCCAATTTAGTATGTATTCTTCTTACTTGTAAAACCCTGCATGTGTATGTTGGGATAACTTACACTGTGTCTGCATTCGGAGGCTTCACTGGATGACAACTTTTCCGTGACATGAACTGGATTTTGTTTTTCTTTCAGCAACAAGCCCTCCCAGGGTAGTAACATTTGACGAAGTGATGGCTGCAGCAAGGAACTTATCAAACATGACACTTGCTCATGAAATTGCTGTAAATGAGAACTTTCAATTGAAACAAGATGCCCTCCCTGAGAACAGGTAACCCGGAGGCATTTGTGTGTGTAAACTGAGCTGCAGATTCTCACACATACACACACACACATACACACACGTTCACACTGATTCCTAGAAGTCTTGTAAATATCCACTGAGAGTAAACATTGGTTAGTTCTCTAACACGGTCTTATACTTGTTTTCAAAACCCTCCTCTAGGGTACATGTTACCCATAATTTTAGAACTCAGTGTGTACGTCACTTTCTGTAGAAAGCGTTTCCTGACACTCCTGAGCATACCAGACCACATTAAATCCCCTTCCTAAGGATTCCTGTTGCCCCTTCTGCCTCCCTTTGTTAAGAAGTCTTTATGTTCAGTGTCTGTCTCTCCCATGTGACCAAAACACCGTAATGGAAGGACTATGTCTATATCATTTGGGGCTCTATCCCCATTGCCTAGCAGAATGCCTGACATACAGTACGTACTCAAGAAATGTTTGCAGATTGACTTATTAAAAACTGATATTCAGGTTGTAAAAGATAAATCAATGTAGCTGAGCTGCCGAAGTGCTAAGAACAGATGATCCAGAAGCGTCTGGTGGTAGGAATCACAACTACATGGGCACCCCTGGTTAACCTCAGTCCCTGCCCCCTCCCCAAAACCCGGGGATCTTTAGTTAGAGCCACACCCTATATCCTACCTCAACCTCTCTGACTTTGTTGGCTCATAAATTCCCTGGGACAGAGAAGAGAAAAGGCTTGAGGCCATAACTACAGGTAAGTCATCTTTAGAGGCAAAGTTAGCTCATGAATAATGGCATTAAATCTTCAACCTCACAGTATCATTTATAAATCCAGAGGCATTCCTATCAGTTAAGACAACATGTAATATTTGATTCTATTTAGAGGTTTTATGCTTATTTGTTTTAAAGCAGGAAAAATAGGAAACATAACAACTTTCCTTCTTTAAAATCCAGATTGTAGTCCTCCTGCTCCTGAGGACATTATTCATAATAATCACTAATATTTTTTAAGATTACTGGCCAAAATAGGTGTATCTGTTTGGTTTTCTATGGTAATTGCATTTCACCACGATCCTTCATACCACTCTACTGCTACACCCCTAGGCCAGGCCACCGTCATTGTCTGACCTCTACTCTTTCAGGCCTAATTGGTTGCCCTGTCTCCATCCTTAGCCCCCCATAGTCCATCCTCTCCATTCACATGGTAGCCAGAGTGATCATTCTGAAGGGTTAATCAGAGAAGGTCATTTCTTTGCTTAAAATCCTTCAGTGGTTTTCTATTACACTTAGAATACGAAACCCAAACTTCTACAAACCCATATGTTTGGCAGAAAGTATGGCAGCAAGGCTCCACTTCCTGACCACGTCTTTTACTCCTGTCCCTCCTGCCTGCTGCACTTCTGCCAAACTGGCTTCCTTGCTGACCTCGGAGTATACTGGCTTGATCCTGTCCCAGAAACTTTGTCCTTCTTCTTCCTTCTTTTTTAATGTTGTTCCCCTAGATTTGCACTGGCTGCTTTTTTTCTCCTCATTCAAGTCTCAACTGAAAGGTCACTGTGCTAGAGAAGCGTTCTTCAACCTCCCGGTGAAGGCAGCACCCTCTCCATCACTGTGTACCACACTGTCTTATTCTGTCTTCCTCATGGTTCTGAAATTGCCTTATTCATTTTTAATGTGTTTTGTTTTTGTCTTTCTGTCCCTGCTAACAGATAAGCTTTTTGAGAACAGACAACTTTCTTTTTTACTACAGTAACCGCAGCACCCAAAACAGGGCCTGGCACATATTGGATGTCATATAAACATTTATTGACTGACTGATAAAAATGAACGCTTGAAGTTTACAGTGTGAGAGTATTTGTGCTTTAAATTCAAAAGCTGTGAATACAGGCCATAGCAAAAGCAGTTGAGGATCAGGCAGACTCTGGATTTGAATCTTGGCTCTGCTGAGACCATTTCTGAGCCTCACGTTCCCCAAGGACGTGATGGGGACTAAAACGCTTCAAATGCGTGCTCATGGGCATCCGAGCGCCTGGACCATAAGGATTTTGATACTCTGGGAAATAGGAATACCTCTCTCCTTCCTTTTCTGCCTTAGCTGGAAAATGTGAGCAAGGAAAGCAAAATGCAAACTTAGGACAACTAACTTTATTTAAAAATAAAATAGCATGTTATGAGCTGTTGATTTTTCAGATGGCTTTTTACAAATGGCCAAGTTGTTACCTTTTAAAATGTGGCTGACTCTCATATTCTACTAAATATTGTCTTTGGGGGAAAAGACTTGGCAAAATACGTCTGATTTCTGATACCCAGCAAGAATGCTTGTAAATGATTTGATTGATCTCATTCCCCTCCCCCCCCACCCCCATCATCCTCCAGAAAATTAAAAAGCTAAAAAATATCTTTCAGCCTTTAGGAAACCTTACATTTAAACTCTGATGTCCCTGCAGGAGCTGTAAAGTTATAGCTCTTCCTTGGTCGATCCATTTAAGCCACGTACATAAGGCTGGTAAAGTCAAGAGTGAAAGTCCATCCCAGCAGTGTTTGTCTTTCTCATTGTTCTGAAGTTGCTCAGGAGGGTCAACACTAGAAATAGCATTTATGCTGAGTAAATCTAGTCAGGAAACTAGAATAAGTTTTAACATTTAAAGTTGCTGAGTAGAATATAGCATTTGCAGTTATGGAAGCAATTTTAACTCACACTCCTCAGAAAGCTGATTTTAATGTCTCATAGCATTATTGTATGTTTAGCTATTTGTACTCTAAAAAGGAAAAATAAGGACATGTGCATAACTATGAAGTTATTAATTTATTTATCATGCCTTCATCAAACACTCACTGTATGCCAGGTACCGTGCTAGGTACAGTGGCAGGTACTTAGAAGAAGTTACGGCCTCTGCCTGGGAGAGATGTATGCCATGTACAGGATGGAGACACCTAAGTAAGTACAGTGCAGGGAAATATGTGATTTTCCTAAAACTGTTGCCAAATGGTGTAGGAGTTCAGTAGGGATGTGTATTTAAATGTGCATCTATTTTAGTGCAGTGACATAAGGGGTGAGGCAAAGTGGCCACCTATTCTATTGTGAGCTCTTCCTGGGAAGGTTCCTATTCCAGCAGTGTGGTCTGGCTAACTTTAAATGGGACATCTAAGCTGTGGTTGGCAGCCTGTCCCATGCATGTCTCCTTGGGGCCAACCTGTTCTATTCCGTGCAATGAAACTTTAGCTGTTGAGGAAAGAGCAACTTTTCCATATCTCAGACCAAAAATCTAGAACACGTCTAAAGATCCAAAGAGCAGCTGGGCAAGGTATGGCATCTCCTTAAGGTACAATTTTAAGAACTTACTGAAAGCTGTAGCAAGAAGGCATTTTTAAAGTCGAGGGGAAACTCCTAGGACAGGATGTTAAATGACACAAGTGTATACTATACCTATAGATTATTCTCAGCTATATAAAAACATGCATTGAACAAGGGAAATATGTCAAAAGATTAAAATGAGATTATGGGCCATTTTTATTCTCTGTTTTTTTTTCTTAATTTTGTAATATTTCTACAATAAGCACATTTATTTCATAATCAGGAAAAATAGTGCTTATTTTTAAAAACAATTCATTTCCTTCCTGTAGCTTGGCCAGTCGAGTGAAGCACATTGTCCACCAGGCCTTCTGGGACGTCTTGCAGTCAGAACTGAATGCCGAGCCTCCGGAGTATGAACATGCCATCAAACTGTTTGAAGAAATCAGAGAGGCAAGTTGATGTTGTCTGTATTAATTAGTAATTCTTTTCCCCGAAGACTGTTTTTGTGTCCTTCAAAGGGTGCTGGAGATTCTTTTTGGAAAACTGAGTAAGTCCGGTCACTGGAAGGGTGTTTTCCAAAGTGCACTTCCCGGGGCGGGGTGGAGGCAAGGGGACTCCGGCAGTGGAAGGAGCGAGCGCAGGGTGACGCTTAGCACACAGAGGGGTTGGTCACAGCAAGTCAAGAGCACAGACTCAGGAGCTAGAAACCTGGTTTAGCAATGGGTTTAGCAACAGCTTTCCAATCCTTCAGTCTTAGCGTTCTGAGAATTGTAAGACTTAAATGATAGGGCGGAGTTTTAGTGAACATTCACGAAGCCCTTGCTCTATACCATACGCTAGATTATTCATTTATCGTTACCATAATGCTGTGAGGTAGTTACCACTGTTACTCTTACTGAATAAAAGGGAGCTGAGTTCCCTTACTTGCCCATGGTTACCCAGCTTTGAGGGATGGAGAGAGATTGGAACTGAAGTGCTCAGGCTCAGAGCCCGTCCTCCTAACCATGTGCTGTGTGTGTAAGCACAGTGTCTGCTGTGTGGTGAATACTCTGGATAGGTTGCCTAAGGAATATATAATAAATATCTTATACGTAAAATATACTAACGTAGCCCATGGGGTGTTTCCATCTGCTCTTCTTTAATTTTTTTTTAATGTTTATTTATTTTTGAGAGAGAGAGAGGCAGAGTGCGAGTAGGAGAGGGGCAGAGAGAGAGGGAGGCACAGAATCCGAAGCAGACTCCAGGCTCCAGGTTCCAAGCTGTCAGCACAGAGCCTGATGCAGGGCTCGAACCCACGAGCCGTGAGAGTGAGATCATAACCTGAGCCGAAGTTGGACACTTAAGCAAGTGAGCCACCCAGGCGCCCCTCATTTGCTCTTTTTTAAAGGGTTCTTTGGAGCCATTCCTTCCTTACGTGGTTTATTTGTAAACTATTTGAAGTTATTTCAGTAATACTGCTTCCTTGCCAGTTGCTCTCATTCTGGTAGTTTCAGTAACTTCCCATGAGTAGTGGCAAGTTGGAGGGGGGCTTTAATGCAGAAGGTAGAGCTTTCTTTTTAGATTTGAGACACTGGAGTGCTCCTCTGACCCACCACCAGTCAGTGTAGACTTCTGTGGCACCCAGGGCATTAAAATATGGACAAGGAGCTTGGTCTTCTAGACACTGAAATAAAAAATGACAACCCTTATTCACGTAAGAATGCCAGTAACTTTTCTTTCCTTTCCCTGTTAGATTCTCCTTTCTTTTCTGACTCCTGGCGGCAACCGGCTTCGCAACCAGATATGTGAAGTTTTAGACACAGACCTAATCAGGCAGCAGGCTGAGCACAGTGCTGTTGACATCCAAGGCCTGGCCAACTATGTCATCAGTATCATGGGAAAGCTCTGTGCTCCTGTGCGAGATGACGACATCAGAGAGCTGAAGGCTACCAACGACATCGTGGAGGTGCTGAGGTTAGCACTTTCCCTGCTTGCATTTTCTTTCTTTTTATTTGTTTGTTTATTTATTTTTGAGAGAGCGAGCACAGGACAGGGAGAGAGAGGGGGAGACAGAGAATCCAAAGCAGGCTCCAGGCTCCGAGCTATCAACGCAGAGCCCAACCCAGGGCTTGAACCCACAAACTGTGAGATCATGTCCTGAGCCTAAGTCAGACGCTTAACCGATTGAGCCAGACAGGTGCTCACGGCTTGCATTTTCTGAGAGTACCTTTCAGTTCATTCAAAAGGGAAGTGTGGGAATTGAGGAACACAGAATAATTTCTGGTCTTCCAAAGGAATCCTTGACCCTAGAAGAAACCAGAGAAGCAAGGAGCAAGTCAGTCATTTGCCCTGAACATAGAATTTTCAGATAGAATGACCTAACAAAGTTGTTAGTTGGTGTGGGGGGGGGGGGGTGGCCCTGGAGATGCAGTGAGGAAAAAGACAGATACAGTCTCTGACCAGGGAGTTTATAGTCCAATGGGAAAACAGACCTCGGACAAGGAATTGCAATTGTGGTAAGTGCTATGGGAGGGGATGTACAGGGGATTAACAGAGCTTCTAGCAGAGGGACCTAATCCAGTCAAGGATCTAGGAAGAGGTCTTTATGAGTTAGGGTAATGGTAGCTGCTATGACACATAACCCCTGAACTCTTGGTGATTTAACAAGTATAAGTTTCTCATGTCACAGTCTGAAGCAGGGGTTCTTGGTCAGGCAGCTTTCCACATGTTATTTGGGGACCCAGGTTCCTTCTATCCTTGATCCCACTGTTGCCCAAGGCCCTTGGAGTCCTGTACATTCAGCTAGTGAATGGGAAAGAGATCATGGAAGGCATACCCAGTGTTCAACCTCTTCAACCCAGAAGAGACAGATTCCACTGACTGTAACCAGTCCTGTGGTCCCACCTAGTTTGAAGGAGGCCTGGGAAACGTGGTTGCTGTCTGGAAATACATTTCCCTAGCCACAAATATACACTGTGGAAAAAGAGCACAGACCTTTGGTGGTCACCTAACCATTTCTGCCACTGCTTCCCTGAGGAAATGAGGTATACTTTAAAATTGTAAGGGTCTAATTCTGGCTGTATAAACAATAACTTCTTTGTGATCCCAGAGGAAAGACGAGTCTATAATAGTTTTCACCAATGAGAGGAACTCCCCCCACCCCCACCTTTTTTTTTTTTTTTTTTTTTTTTTTTTGTGAATACAGCCACGTTGAAAATTAAGTTTTAGGTAATAGTATTGGAAAGGTAGGAGGAGGAAACTGGTATGCATAGAGCAGGTAACTTACATTACTAACTGGGGCAAGTCGATAACCTCTCAAAGTCATACTTTACTCCATTGGTGAAATGGGCTGTATGTGCCCGTAGAGTTGTGTTCAGCTCTGGCATACAGTGACTCTTCAGTTGCAGAATCCATGCTCTGAGTTACCTTATTACCCACGTGTGGTATCACATCTGTGGTCTTCATCTTGGTCATCTGTCGAGCACCTACTGGGGACCACTGTTCCCTCCATGATGCGTTCATAACCTCATCGACTCTCTACAACATCCCTCCAAGACTGATCTTGTCTCTTCTTGCACAGATGAGGAAACTTGCACGGAGAGATTGAGTAACTTATGCCTGGCCACAGAGCTGGTCAGTTGCAATGCTGCATTTGAGCCCAGGCGTGCCCAATTCGAAACTGAAGTATTTTTCCCCTGTGCCTTACTTCCCTGTCCTTTTTCTTCTTTTCTCCCCACCCCACCCATGTTCCCTTAGGAGGAAAAACCAAGTACACTATGTGCAGACTCCTTAAAAGTTTAGGGCTTTCCAGTGAAAATTCCTTCTTGAATCTTTGTCTCATTGTTAAGACTCATTGCTTATGCTTTCTACTGTCTACCAATTCACTGCTGGGTGTAATGGATCAGCTGGAGGTATTGTATTTGCTAAAGCAAATACTCTTGAGATCTGTGAAGAATAAATTTGGGATGCATGTGTAATGCCTTCTATGAAAAGTGACCTTGCCAATGGCAGTTGGAATTTCAAAACCATTTGGGGGATGTTTATATTTTCCAGCCTGTAAAATAGATTGCAGTTAATGAATTTCAGCTTAATTTCTTAATCACCTCTTTAACTATTTTCACTCTAAAATTTTTAGACAAATATTTCATGTCCTGGACCTCATGAAAATGGACATGGTCAATTTTACAATTAGGAGTCTTAGACCACATCTTCAACGCCAGTTGGTGGATTATGAGAGAACCAAGTTCCAAGAAATTTTAGAAGAAACTCCAAGTAAGTACAATATAATGTGTATATGTTGAAACTAAGTGGAAATATGATGCGTTATATTTTGGTATCTTAAGGAGTGTCACTAAAGAATTTTGACTTTTCTGTTAAACATTTTTGTAACTTCTAAAATCGACATCACAAATTTATAGCTGTTTGCTGTGTCTCAAGCACTATTCATTTCTTCATGTATTAAAAAATATATATGTATTGAGCACTTGCTGTGCCCCAGATACTAGGATTGCTGTGGATCCCAGTTGCTGTGGATACCGCGGTGAACAAAACAATGTTGTGACCCCTGGGGAGCTGACATTCTAGTAGGCATGACAGACAAACAAATAAGCATGTATTGTCAGATGTGTTAAGTGCTATGAAGAAAAGTAGGAAAAAGGGCAGATAGCAATGGGGCAGGAGTGGGGGAGGTGGTGTTTTTTAAGACAAGGTAGACCGAGATGAGAAGACCTCTCTAAGAAGGAACGTTTGAGCAGAGTTTGCAAAGGGAAGAGGAAGGGGCATATGAAGAAGTGAGAAAAGAACATTCCAGCCAGAGGGAGCTGCAGGTACGAAGGCGCTGAGACAGAAGCGTGTGTGTGAAGTTGGACAGACACACCACAGGTAGTGTGGCTGGAGTAGAGCGGGCAGGGAGAGAGTGGGCGGAGACGAGGCCAAGAGGTAGACAGAGGCAGGTCACACAGAACCTTGCTAGGAAATGAGAGCTTAGAGTTTATTCCAAGTGTTGACAGGAAGTCATTGGAGAGTTTTGTGCAGGGGAGCAACATGTGATTTGCATTTTTAAAGACCGCCCTGGCTCCCGGGTAGAGAGAGAATAGATGGCACGGGAGCAGAGAGGGAAACAGGGGCACCATGTAGGCGGTACTGTGGCTGCATGTGCAAGAAATAATGGTTCATCTGGCAGTGGTGGAAGTAGATAGACGGGGTCAGATTCTGGATGTGTTTTGAAAGTTGAACAAGACGATTTGCTGGAAGTTGGATGAGGAGAAAGGAGAGGAGGTGATGATGCTAAGGTTTTCGCGTGAGCAGTAGGGTGAACAGTGATGGTTGTTAGTGGGGTGGGCAACTAGGGGAAGGCAGGTAAGGAGATGGTATGGGATCGGGGTTCAGGTTCACGTATATGAACCTTGAGATCTTCATGGCATCAACATGGGCATGTCAGGTAGGTGTTTGGATATAAAGGACTAGAGTCCAGGGGAATGGTGGGTACTAGGGATATACATTCAGGACTCACCAGCATATTTGTGATAGATCAAGCCAAAAAACTGAATAATAGTTAACCTGAATAAAATGCTTTCTATATGCCAAGCACTTTACCTGTGTTAACTAATTTGATCTTTGTGACAACTTCAGGAAATTACCCCCCATTTTATAGATGAGGAAACTGAGACACAGAGAGGTTAGATCACTTGCCTCCATAACACAACTTGTAAGTTATGGAGCTGGGACTCACCCAGGTGGTCTGTGTGCACTGTTCATACTCTTATCCACAGTATTGCACTGGGTGAAATTACCTGGGAGTGAGTGTAGATACAGAAGGGGCCTGACCTGGAACTCTAGAGCATCTAGAGATCGACAAGAGCAGACGGATCCAGCAAAAGAGACTAGGAATGAGTAGAGCTCAAGAGGAAGGGACGGAACCAGCAACGGTGACTGTGAAAGAGCAGCCAGAGAAGTGAAGGAAGCCAGGAGCAGGTGATGTTCTGTAGGACAAGTGAAGAAAGTGTTCAGACAGTGAAGGCATGATCTGCTATGTCATGTATTGCTAAGTGGTCAAGAAAGAGGAGGCCAAGGCTTGACCGTGGGTATGACTGTATGAGAATCCTTTATAACCTTGATGGGAGCAGTTGCGATGGACTGGTGGGCATTAAAGTTGGACTGGAAGAGGGGTCAAGAGAGACTGGGAGTAGACAAAGTAGTACCTCAATGAATCCTCACAGTTACTCAGTTAAGTAGGTACTGTTAGACCCCTTATTTCACAGGGGAGGAAACTGAGATGCCAGATGGTGCACAGCTGGTAAAAGGCTGGCTGACTGATTCCTTCATTGGCAGACTCTTAACGCTGGCTTCTGGGCTGTAATTAACCACAATATAAGGCCGTTAGGTGACCCACCCACCTCATCCCACCCCTCTTGGACGGAGCTTTCCTGTTAAGATAGTCAGTAGGGTAGTCTTAATTGTGAACAAAACCAAACAAGTGCCACTTTTAAAGGGACTCCAAGAGCCTGAAGCATGTCCAGGGAAGAGGGCATGGGTTACGAAGGGTCACATGAGGAGCCGTCCATGAAGCTGTGTGTATTCTGCTTGGTAACGGGATGTGCCTGGGCGGTGAGCATTGCCTTCCCTGTTGGTATTGAATCAGGGACTTACGGTTAAGTTCTGCAGGGCAGACTAGGATCCACGGAGGGGAGTAGCAGGCAGCCAGTTTTGACATTTATAGCAGCTACAGCTGTTTTAAATTTGGAATGGGCCTCTCTAGTACTAATAGTACTCAGTGCTAGCTATCATTTTGTTGAGCACTTATTATATGCTACGTCCTTACTATGTGCCAACACTCTGATTAGCCCATTCAAGCCTCACAATAGCCCTGTGAAACTGGTACTATTATCACTCACTGTTTACAGATGAAGAAATTGAGGTTAAGGTACTTACCCCAGGTCACTGCTGAAGCCTGGATAACCCAGACATGTCTCTGCCCCAAATCTTGTACGCTCAACCACTACGCAGCACTGCCTCTCTCCAAATGAGACACTGACCGCCTTTGGGGGATCTCCAGAGGGGGCGCTAGCACTGAGTGGTGGATATGACTAGATGACTTCCAACCATCCTTCCACAACAAAAATTCTGTGACTTCAGGGCTGTATTGTTTTAGCTTTAAAGGGAGAGAGGGATTAGTGGAAACAGAACCCTGCATAGAACCTGAATCTGAAACCTGAACTACGGTAACTATGTTCATAGCAGTGTTTTCCTTTCCAGCACGTTACTGGTTGGTTTCATTTGTATGCCTGTGTACGTGTGTGTGCAAATGTCTCCATGTCTCGAATCAAGATAGCTTGTCATTTGGAGCGAATTCCTTAATATTGGGTTGAATGACAGTTTTGATCATCTTAAATGATTTGTTTCTGTCCTTAAAACTCAGGCTTAGTGACCTGCATTTGTACGTTTCACATTGACTTGGATATTTCCAGAGATTTAAGAATAGAATATATCCAGTTGTGCATATAGGTCATTATTGCCCAGCTCTGAATATGTTCCCAGAGAAATCAAGAGTCCAGGAAGCAGAGTGTACGTCAGCTGTTAATTATATCCTCAAGTCACTTTGCCAAAAGTCGGCCACTGTGCCCTAATATCAAAATAAGAGCCTCACAGGAACATGCAGAAGCACAGAAGAGTTGGATTTTTTGTGTATGTGATTTTTATAAAATAATTATTGGAAAGTTAATAGAGAGGAGTACTGTAGATTTCTGAACTGATTTCAGAAAAGAGTTTATTTTGCCAACAGAGAGATTTTATGTAATTTCCTGATTTACAAGTCTTAGGCACTGATTGGTCACATGTACAACATCAACAAGATGACCACATCAGGTCCAACAACTGAATTACCCGTGGAAAGAGTAACAGATTACCCCGAGGGGGCCAGACCACAGGTAATTTCTAAGATACTCAGCAAGAAAAGGTTTTTATTTATTTAGATAATATCTTATATCTGATAAAATATTCTCATAGAACTTCATTTCATGTGATTCTTTCAAAAATCCTACGAGACGTAAATATTTTTCAAAAACCGATGAAACTGCATTGTGATTGTCTTTGCCTGGCACACAAGGCAGTCAAGGACTACTAACGGAACATTCTGAAGATGAGCCAACTGATACTGAGCGATGGCCTGCCCAAACACAAGAGCTCCTAATAAGTAGTGGAGCGAGGACTGGAAGCCAAGTCTCCCGCATCCAAGCCAAGATTTAACCAAGCTGCTGCTTTGGCTGCTTTCTTTGGATTTTTCACTTTTGTGTTACATCAACTGGGTTGTATGGCAAGCAACAGAAACTAACTCTGGCTGACTTGGCAAAAAAGGAAGCGAATGGAAGGACGGGGGCAGTTCACAAAAAAAGCTAAAATACCTGAGCCTGAACAAGGCCAGAAACCAGGAGAGCATCAGGAATCTGGGCAGAAAAAAATAAGGGAAAGTTCCCAGCTCCATCATCAGAACCGTTAACGTGTACTTTAAAATGGGCTATCCTTGGGGCGCCTGGGTGACTCAGTCGGTTAGGTGTCCGATTTCAGCTCTGGTCATGATCTTGTGGTTTGTGGGTTTGAGCCCCAAGTCAGGCTCTGTGCTGAGGCTGGAGGCTGCTTCAGATTCCGTGTCTCCCTCTCTCTCTGCCCCTCCCCCACTCACACTCTGTGTGTGTGTGTGTGTGTGTGTGTGTGTGTGTGTGTCTGTCAAAAATAAATAAACATTAAAAAAATTAAAAATAAAAGAAAGAAAGAAAATAAAATGGCCCATCCTTGAATGCTGTAGTCACCCTTCAGGTCCCAGGAAAGTCTGATGGGCATGTGATTCCGCTAGGCCAACCCCAGGGGGTCAGGGGGCTTTCCTGGTCAGGGACCTCTTAATTGATATTCACAAAAGAAAGCATGGAAAGAGGGAAAATGATTTCTCAAAGAAATCAGTACCAAGGGACACCTGGTTGTCTCAGTCTGCAGAGCATGTGACTTTTGATCTGGAGGTTGTGAGTTCAAGCCCCATGTTGGGTGTGGAGCCTACTTAAAAAAAGGAAGAAAGATGGGGTGCCTGGGTGGCGCAGTCGGTTAAGCGTCCGACTTCAGCCAGGTCACGATCTCGCGGTCCGGGAGTTCGAGCCCCGCGTCAGGCTCTGGGCTGATGGCTCGGAGCCTGGAGCCTGTTTCCGATTCTGTGTCTCCCTCTCTCTCTGCCCCTCCCCCGTTCATGCTCTGTCTCTCTCTGTCCCAAAAAATAAATAAAAGTTCAA